TATGTTTCAGATTCGATTTACATAACACTTTTTCCTATGAGCAATTCATTGCATAAAAAAGGAAAGATGCTTAATATATTATACTACTTCATCACTTCAAAAGTAATTTTTTTCTATCTAATTACTTTTCTCTCTGATGACTACATACTAAATAGATTTCTGTCTAAAGTACATATTTTTGGTGAGAGGGAGGTAATAAAAAGAGACTTAAGTCAAAGAATGTCATAAATACTTATAAGACAAAAATACCAATGTCCAATAATGTATTACAATTTCTTTAAAATTTGAAGTGACTTTACATTTTATATTATTTATGTTTTTTATTGTTCCCAAAACACTGAAGGAAAAAGGTCTGAAACATCTGAATAATTGAATACTATCAAGACACCTTGCCGGGGAAACTACTATAAGTGAGCAAAGTCAGCCAGGTGTTCCACCTTGTTAATTAATATGTGAGCATCTGAAATGCAGTAAAGCCCCTGCAGACCAGCAACTTCTGGTTTAGCTTGGACACTGATGTTAATAGATTGAGTTTAAATGTGGGAATAAATAAAAAGGCCTACACTCCGAAAGGTGTAAGATTTTAAATTTGTAACTGATATTTTATGATATTCCTCTATAAAGCATAGATCACAACCTCAAAGTGAGAATTCAGACACAACAATAAGGTTCCCAACCATCCCTATGAGGTCCACAGACAAAATTAGGATATGCCTTTCTTTCCCTAGGCTTTTTTATTGCATCCCACTGCTTTCCGCATCTCTGTGTGAAGAGACTACATCTGCCAAGAGCACACTCAGAATTCCTCTGCTAACAGATACTTGTAAAAATACAACTTCTTTAGAGGCGAGAAGAGACAAAACAGCACGTTCTGAATGCTGTGAATATCTCAGCATGGTTTTCCATCATCGTGGGCTCTGGCAGCCATTTGATTTGCGCTTTAATGTCTCAGATCCTGCATGCACAGACCAGATCTCAACTCCGGGGCTGATGAAAAGCTATTTGCATGATTTCACTTATGGCTTTTCAGAGCAGCTTCTAGTGGAAAGTCACCACAAAAATAACTTCTCCACTTTTGAACCCTGAAGAGGTTCACAAGGCTGTCAGTTCCAAAGAACACTAAATAAGGTTTAACATGTAAGAAAGGTTTCAATTTATTTTTTAAATTCACTTTTTCCCTATCTACCTCTAGAAAGAATTTGAAGCAACAGAAAACATCAAATCAAATAGGAAAAGATAATTATAACAAAAGCCCAGACTTAAACTCTTCATGGCAGTGAAATTCAGATACGAGGTATTTTCACTGGCGCAATTATTAGGAGAAAGATTTTTCTTGTTTCAGGTGGAAGGTTGATCTATCCCATGGGAACACAGAAAGTTCACTAAGCACTGTGAATATGCAGTAATATGAAAGTGTCTTCAGCAAGTGTTTTATGGAAGTTACAGAAAGGTACTTCACTGGAAGTGTGTTGTAAATTGTCACATCTATTTATAAAAAGAGATAAATCATGATTACCAGAAACAAAACTCTGTGGTAATACAGAAAAAAAGGTCTTTAAAGTCTAAAGGAATGTATCTCTATTGTAAGCCTCCAATATCAAATGTGATTAATGTCTCGGATTTTAAGGATCTATATAATTTTACTTTCTAAGTGTGAAAGAGCAAACTCAGTGTTGTTGAAAACATATTAATATACATTTTGTGATAGTGGTTCCTCCCTGGAAAGTTATAAAACCTAAAGTGTTTCTCTTGAGTACAGGGAGAATCGCCTTTTTTCTATACAAGTCTGAGCTGCAAGAATATCTGCAGAAAGAACCACTAAGTGTGTTTGAGATGCATCCTTATATATGCTCAGGGCTGAGTGGTCTCATTGATCCCAAAGTTCCACATGATATGCATGAGAAAGATCATATAAACTCCTGTGTTGGCCATAAAGGAAACTTGACATTTTTTCCTGGCCTCACAGATCTGGTGTAAAAATATATATCTAACATTTCCAAAAAGGACTTTTAAAATATGGATTTGATAACCTAACTGGTGAGATGATTTTGGAGTCACCATTGTAGGAGACACATTCTTAGAGGCAGACTCTAAATACCATGTAAGATTCCTCATAGTCTTCCCAGGATCGTATCCAGCCATGGAATTTCAGTGTGCACCATGTATTCTAAAACCACTCAACTAACTTTTAACACTTGATGGATGACTTTTACTGTATGACATTTAGGGAAATTATGCTAATGAAAAGTTGATGTTAATTCAGTCTCAAAATTAAATATTAAAAAATCTTGCTTTTATCTCTCTCAATTCACTTAGTCATCACTGAACTATGTCTCTTCCATTACAATTTCCCAGGACATTGTTACCTCCTTTTTAACACCCATCATCTATCTGTCTATGCCATAGTTATTTAGGTATGTATTAGATTCAGTGTCATGGGAGGGCGGCTACAATTCGTTTATTTATTTTTTTTAATCATGTCTAACCGCCCCAGAATTGTAGCCCAGATTCTCGACACTTGTTGATCAGAGAAGACCAGGTGACTTGAATTAAAGCCATAGGTTCAGTTGCAGGAGAAAGTAGCCTGTATTTGGAAATCTGAATGGTGTCAATATGTCAGATATTTAAGAAAAATAAAATTCTTGAGTGATCTCTCTTAATGACTATTTTAAATGAATTACTTAAAAACTGCCAAGATATTATTTTCACAAAATGTCATTTAAACTTGTAGCTAGCATATACAAATAGTCTAATAGAGATCTCCTTACCAAGTGGAGTGAGAACTAATGTGCAAAGCCCTTAGGAAGTGGAAGACAAACAAGTACATGAAGGAAAGGTCTGGTCTGTGGGTTCTGACCAGGAGGCAGGCCTGAGAAAGGTGCCTCGGTGTGAAAGCTGGACAGTTCGGGGATAGCCGAAGGGGACAAGAGACCTGGGAAAGGAGGCTGGCAAAGAAAATTGAAGTGGGGCATGGAATAAAGGCCAAAGATGCCAAAGGCAGGCTGAAACCCACTTGCCCAAAAGTACAACTGGCTATCAGAAAGCCCGTGCCGTTTTTTACTGAAGAACAGCCCAACACTTTCTCTGAGGAATAATGCCTGGTCATTTGAATCCTTTAATGCACTCTCCACCTCCCTCTGTCTTCATCGCAAGCACACTCTGATCAAAGCAAAGCCAGCTGTCAGTGTGGAAGGGAACCAATGAACCCCACATCTGGCCTTAGCCTGTTTTCAGCCAGGGGCTGCTCCCACACTCGCTTGAAACAATTGCTGGGTGAAAGCATGTCCTCTTCGGTAGCTACTCTTTCTCTTCTAACTCACCAGGATCATGAAGCCATCATTTGAATTTAGCAAATTGTATTCTAATTATCTGTGTAAAGAATCTCAGCTTCCACAAAAGGATCTGTTCTTTATATAAAAAAGAACAGCAGCACAGTTAAGTCGCAGTTTCCCTGCGAGTGGCACTTAAGCGTGTAATTCATCGGGAGCTAACAAAGATGTGGCCAGAACCAGTGACGAAGGACCACCTGTCTCACTGCCACAGCTCCCCGTGGGTGATACACTAAAGACGCCGGCTGACAGACTCTGATTTTCTCCAGCACAGCACTGCCTTCCTGAAGCTCTGCAGGTGCCTTCTGCGAGCGGCACGTCGGTGGGATTGGCTTTGGAATCATCTGGGCACCTGTCATGTCTTTTTGAACTCATACATGCCCTTGGAAGGAAATAGAAATTAATAGCATAGAATTGGGACAACTTTCCAGGAAACATGGCAGACGGATACACATTCTGGGGTCATTTGGGATTTTGGGTTATTACTGCCATCGCTGCATGAAATTTATAAATGCATATTTAAGTAGAGACAGATTATGCTATTAAACCCACATGTATAGATTTAAATATAATTTATCTTCAAGCTAAGGTTATAAACGGATTTGAGCTGGAATTTTGTTTTAAGCATTACTAAGCATATTGTTGCTATTAATAATACTGTAATAATGTTTAATAAACCACATAAAATGGCCACATTTTATATAATTATACTCCTTGAGGCCCACTCTTATTCATTTTATAATAAACAAAATGTTAGGAATTCCATCTATAAACTTCTATTGTCCGGTAGTTAATTCCAGATCAACAACCAGGGACTGCAACTTGACTTTAACATTTAGTATTGCTAATTTATAGTATCTCTGCTATGTTTAGGATATTATTTTGGGGGAAGCACAAGATTGATATATAATTAAATTGCTTTTTAGTCTTCTGTTTTAAGAGGCAGGAATTGTTTATGTTCATTTTCTAGCTCCTTTAAATTCTTAAGTCTCAATTCTGATTTCTAAAGTACACAAGAGGTAACTAAAGAATCAAGAGTTCAAGAATCAAAGAAGAAATTGCAGCACTCTCACAGTGTTCCTCCTCACAAAATAAAACCTTAGCTTACTCCATTATAATGCATCTATCCTAGGCATAGATTCGACCACAGTGTAAAACTTCCCTGGTTGCCCTCTTGTTTCCTTAACTGCTATACGAACACTCCTGAACCAGCTATAAAATGTACACCCTTGAACAGTAGCTATCAAGTTCAAATTTGTCTCCCCACACATTACTGCGAAAAGGTGTAGCATTGGCAGCATTAAAACACTACCTCTGAGTGTAACCAAGTGAAAGAACCAAGCACAATATTTCCATTTAGAGGGCTGAGCCACCATTAGAAACAGTGAGGGGTTGCACAGTGTTCCAAAAGTTTTTCCAGTGCTATGTCATTCATGTGCTTGAATAGTAATACGATTTTTTAAGGATATTTTGAGTTGATAAGAGCTTTTGTACAGAGTTTAAGAAAACAGAAAATAGAAGGAATCCTTTGGTATGTATGCATGAAGTTAAACTTTATGCACACTCTGCTGCTTTGCTGTAGCTTAGTGCCAGAATTCCCAAGTTAAGAAGGAAGGGAAAAAATTCTTTTTCCTGATCGCCCCGAGCCACCTGGGCTCTAGCATAACTTACCTAAAGATGGGTCTTTGGAGATGCTTCTTCTTGATTGTGACATGGTCATCCATTTAAAGGTGAATGTTTAACTTCTTCCTGGAAAGTACTCCAGAAATCCAGGGAGGGAAAGTGGAAGCTTATCCTGATCTATTGTGCTGCAAGGAGCCCAGAAGGAAAAAGTTTCCTCTTTCTCTTTTTGGGTGCTGGGAGAAAACTTCCCTGCTCTCTGCCAGCTGAGCAGTGTGTCCATAGAGGCCACATAAGACAGGCACGTTGGGGCACTCCCCCACAGAGCAGGGTGTGCAAAAACCACCAAGAGTCACTTTGACACGGGCAGGAGAAGTGCACGGAACCCTCGGAAACAGAACAAAACAAACAGAAAACTTCCTACCCCAGTGGCACTCAGGTAGGAGCCCCCTAAGTTATCGCAGCCATGAGAGCACTCCTTCCACATGCTGGTCAAGCTCGGAAAAGCTAAGTCCCTCCCTGTCTTTAAAACAGTCTGCTCTGAGGCTCAACTTTTTTCTTCAAAATAAAAGTTGTACAGCTGGTTCAGCAGTCCCATGTGAGTACCCTCTGAAAGTTTGTTCTGTTAAAATAAGAACTGTATACAAATTAATGAAGAAAGAAGGGCTCGGGCTGCATGGCTGGCTCTGCGTCAAGAGATGATAATTATTTTACAATCTTGCTTTTACTAACACTGAATAAAATATGGACACGACTCATCATTTTTGGCATTCGTAACCTAATAACCTACACTTGGCTGAAGTCAGAGATGCCATTTCAACTGATAGGAGGCCATGTGAAGCCGGCCAGAGCTACAAAAGTTACAAAAACAAAAATTGCTCAATTCTAAAGTGACATTGTACCCAGATGATTGTACTCAAATATGTCTTTCCAACTAAGAGAGGACACTGCAAAAAAGGTATAGAAACACACACATATATGCATACAGTTTTGGTTTTTTTACAAGTCCCCAAAACTCCCTGGGAGCCTAAGGTTTTTATATTATATGATCAAATTTGAATTTATAAAAATAAAAAGAAAGAAAAGTAGATATAAGAGAGAGTTGTGGACAGCTGGAAATAAATAACATTAAAAATTGTTTTATTTGGAAGACAGACTCACACTGCAGGAACTCTTGTTCTAGTTACAGATAAGGCAAATCGTCATATTTTAATATAACTTATTTTGGAGACAGTCCTGTATTTGAATCATTAACAAAATTTCTACTCAATCAATAGTGTCATGGGATTCCAAGCCAGAGGTTTTGGTATGTAATAAAATAAACCATCTCGAAGTATGATTAAAATGTTCTTAAAATTATGCATGTAATAAATGGTGAAAAACCTAAGAAACACAAATGCCTTTAGTAAAATGATCCATAAAAATAAGACTCAAATGTCATGGAGGGGGGATATGATCTATAGGCCTCAATCTGTAGTTCTTAGCACTCTCCAGAGACTCCCATACAAGCAAGAGCACCATTTTACTTTCCTCTCAGAAGAATAGCAAAGGAAAAAAGAATTACTGAAAGAAACCACTGATTATATCGAGTAGTTTTAATACACACTTTTTCTCTCATTTTCCTAATGAAATCAGCCTGAGAGAGCCCTGAACTAAAAATAAAATAAAAGGGTTCTAGTCCTAGTTCTATCATGAACATTCTGGGCCATTTTGGGAAAATGTCTTGACCTATCTGAGCCCCAGTTTCTTTATTTGTAAAATGAAGTTATAATATTTTTGAATTCTATGTTCCTTTCAAGCTTTAATGGTACCATAGTGCTATTTTTAAATATGATTAGTTTGCTTCTTGCAAAGGAACTAGCATTAAGGTAAAGATGCCTAATACTCAAAAAAAAAAAAAAAAAAAAAAAAACCCAAAACATTTAATATACAAAGTTATAAATAAATAAGGAAGTTATAAATTAAAAGGAAGACAATTTTATATTATAGATATTTATGTAGATATTCTATATTTATATAATGATGTCTAAATTAATCTTTCCTTCACCATCAATAAGCATCCAATCATAGACTGATATGTATGGGATACTGATGTTAAATCTGGGGCGGATGCTTTGTTATAACCATATACTTTGGCTCCCTTTGTATAGGACTGTATATAAGTAATAACATCTTGCATAGCTCTTCTGAAAGTATTTTTGCACTTATGGCTGGCATTCAATTTCTGTATTCATGGTTCATCTATATTACTATTAATTTAGCATAAATATCCCTGAGAGAGGGACAAGCCAAAAAAATTGTAAGCCCATCAACTTTAAAAAATTAGCTTTCATTTTGTCTACTTTTGAATTAGAAAAGTAAGATGCTTTCTTCATTAGCATGATGGAGGCAACTCAACACAAATACTGGTAAACATCTAGCCAAGGGACAGTTCAAATGATAAGAAAGTAAGCAATCCAACTTGAGGCTTAAAGGCTTATCAAGTGCAGAATCTGAAAGTTATTCAATTAATTACAGGAAATCCATAACAATTTTTATTGCATTAAATTTATATTCCCTTTGCTCTTAAGCCTTAAGGTAGAAAACTTAAATTCCCATTTACTTCAAGCACTGTATTTAAACCTCATCTTAGAACCTAAAGAGTCATGAGAAAATACCAGTATATTAAATATTCACTTGGCACACAAAAAATATGTATGTCCTAAATGTTTTTATTAACTTTTTCTCAAAGAGCATTTAAATTTAATATTGAGAAAATGTTTGCCTTATTAACTTATTCAACTTTAATGTAGTCTTTAATAAAATGAAAGAAACTCACTATTGTTGCTTAAATTCCAAAAAATATATTTCTTAAATTAACACCACTATACTCATAAAATACAAAAATTTATATATCAATAACAAGGCCAACTCTCCTAAAAATGATCTAAAATATAATTTATTATAAATATTTTTCCTGGGGTTAGGGATCAGAAATGGTGTTTATAGTTTTCCAGTTATGGTAAACGCTCATTCAGTAGAGTTTGCATAACATTTTTACCCCCATTGCTGCTTGCGTGCTCACTCATGCTCTCTCTCTCCTTCTCCCTCTCTCACACACACATACATACACCCTCCCCCACTCAGCACTGTTAGAGACTGCATAATAGGTGCTCAATAAGTATTTCTTATTAATAATTTGTTAAAATTCTCAGCTGAAACACATCGACATGCCCATCACAATCAACTCTTTGTGTGTGACAAAAAATATGGATCTACTCACGTGACTTTTCCAACCAAGTGGATACAAAGTGTGTCATGGAATTTTGTGTTAAGCATCTTGGAAAACAGGTAAGTTTTTGTATAAGAAGGTACATGGTTTATCTAAATTACTATATTCCTATAAAAGCTTTGGGTTTTATTCATTGTAATTTTCTGTTCTCTGGCTCAGTTTACAATATATAGGTGCCAAACACATGCAAAGGTAGAAAAACAATTTAATATTATGCCAGCCTAAGAACTGGAAAATGAATGCACAAGTTATCACTTTACCACATAAGTCTAGTGAAATATAAGTCTGAGACAAAGTATATGTTCTTTTGTTCCAACATTACTTCATTAAATACATGCCACAAGTTATATATTTAAGTGAGTTTTGAATTAAGTGGAGAAGCAGGAAGGCAATGCAAAAAAGATAGAATCAGATGACATTTTAGATTATATGTTTTATATATATATATATTTAATATATATAAATATATATAACAATTTTTTTAAACCTGGTTCTTTCTCTCTTGCCTCTCCACTTTCCACCAAAATTAGAGCTAGCCCTGTGTATGATTAGAGTGTCTCCTACACCTAAACTCCAGGTCCATAGTTCTCAATCTTTTTTTTTCCCACACATCATACATGAAAGATAATGTGCATGTGATACTCTCCCAGAAGTACCTAAATCTTGATAAAACCAAAAAAAGTAAAATGCAAACATTGCCATAATTTCCATTTGACATAGCTATAAATATTGCATCAGTAAACTGAAACACTGCTTGGTTAACTTTACCATGAGATGAATGGCAGGGTATGAACTATTTCTGATGGACCAACCATAACTCTGTTCTTTTATCACTGGGTGAAAAACTTGCATGTAAGGGAGTGACAGTGGCATTGTTTTAAAGGTAACTCAAATCTGATGTATCCTTTTAAAGCTAGTCCTTCACAACATTCAGCATTTTCTCCATTTTTTAAACAAATTTTCTGCTACAAGTTTCACAGTGGATTACAAAGCTTGTTGATAAGTGGTGAAGCTGGAATTTGAACACAGGTGTCTCATCCTGATCCCACGCTTTTATCCCTACTGAACAGGCTGTCATGTTGTCGGACAGTCTGCTGCTGAGATCACCTGGGCTTTCTGAGCTATATTTTCTATTCCATGAAGAAAGAGAGAAAGCAACTGGCCACTCTAATGAGTGTCTATTCTTCTAATCCTCACCCTACTTAAATATCATTGCATTGTAGGTTATGTCCAAAGCCAGCCCTAGAAAGAGCCTACTTATCTGGAGGTGAAATGATCAATGAATATGTTCTACTAACATCTGAATTGAAACTCTGTTCTGTTATAAAGAGCCCTGGACTAATGACAAGGAACAAACATTTAAATCCCAGCTCTAGCAGCAATTTTCAACTCTCTGCACATTTGTTTCCTTAATAATCAAACTAAGATGTTGGGCCAGATGACCTCCAAGATCCTTTCCAGCTCTGAATTTTTATGACTTTATGACTGGCACCATGATAAAATGTCAAGTTATTTAAATTTAGTAGCCAAGCAAGAATAAACTCTGTAGTCATTTTAGCTTTTCTTAACCCCAACAGGGTCATCCATACCACCAGAATACTTTTTTCCTCATTGTTATAGGATTAAAAATATAACATTCTACCATTCAAACATGAAAATAAATTGTAGAACTTTATTTTTTCTAGCTAAGTGCCCCCCCCCCAATAGCTTCTACTTGGAACTATTCTCACTGGAATATAACTACAGCAGGATAGGGATAAGTGTCTGTTGTATTCCCTGTGCATGAGGAACACTCAATTATTATTCATTGAATGAATGACCACATGAACAAAGTGCTGATTAACGCTATTGTAGGGGAGAAGAATTTACCACCCCAAATTGCGTCTCC